TATACTATAATATGAATCAAAAATCTCATTTTTTGTTAAAAGTCCCCGGAATCCATTTTTAATAGCAAAGCTCCCATTTTATCAATCAATAATGTTCCATTATTTAAGGAAATGATCTACTGATCACGTTTAATTTTAAATTCTTGGTAGTTCCGGAAGCAAATCATTAGTTGCCGTCCGTTCGAAATATCACAAGGAGGGTGGAAAAAATTTGAAATAAAAAAATCGCGTATACGGCTATTTTCATTTTTGATATTCAAATCAAACCTTCCTTTTGCATCACTTGGAACCTTCAAACAGTATCACGGCCTATAATAGATGTTCTTAAAACATTTGATTACTCTAGATTACTATTATGCATAATATTAAATGATTTTTATGTCATATAACAAACATTTGAACTCAAGATTAATTATTTTTAAACATTTGCATGTAACATTAGAAGAAACGTGGAATCGAGATAACGGAAAAAAAATGAGTTATTTTGCGATTAGAACAATATAAATATTTTATATTTATTTTCAAGAATTTTTTATGGTTAAATCCTTGAAATATACTTAATAGAGGCATTCAATGAACATAATGTTTATTGATATATTTTAAAGATTCAATAGCTTTATAGCTTTTCGGTTTTTATTTTTAAAAAATTTCTATTATATATTTTTCATATTAATATTAACTCGAACAAAAAATTTATTTGTAGTTTATATTAAAATTGGTATGAAATAGCTCGGAAAGGATCCTTCTAATATAATTTCCATCGGTTGTAAAGGCAAAAAAAAACAAAAAAAAAAAAAAAGGCGGGAAATAAAAGGCGGGAAATAATTTCTTATTATCCAAATATAGTATTGAATTGTGTAAATGTCGATCAAAAAAAAAAAGCTATAAATGCTGTTGATAATCAAATCGTTTTGTCTTCATCAAAAAATATCATTTAAACAAATTATAATCAAATCAATAAATAACTAAATTACATTCATTCATTTTTTAAAATGTCTTCAGGACAATATTATACAGAAAAGGATACATTTTTCGTTGATTCTAGTGAAAATATGAAAATTGAAGTTTTACATTATCCTCCAGCAAATATAATATCGGTAAGTAGCAATAAAAATTTAATCCTAAATTTCTTAATACAAAAGGTTGCAATAATTTAACTTTATTATAGAATTATCCACCAATTTTATTCATTCATGGATTAGGACTTGCGGCTTGGGTTTGGGATAATTTTTGTCGCTGGTTCCCGAATAAAGGACATGATTGTTACGCTATGAGGTAAATTAATTGTCACGAAAATAATTCTTGATTAGAAATTCTAAATTTTTAAAAATAATAATTTAGTTTTCGAGGACATGGACAAAGTACGAAAACTCCAAAGAAAGATCAATGGTGGTCATTAAATGAAATTACAAATGATGTATCCGCCGTAACTGATGCCATAATTGCTAGAAACGGAGATAAGCCTGTTCTCGTTGGGTAATGATTATCATTTATTTTACAAATATAAATTTTTTTTAAATTGATGTTAAATTTATTTTCTCATTTGCTGCTAGACATTCACTTGGAGGAGGAATTGTTCAAAATTATCTTAAAAATAATCAACAGAAAGTGGCTGGTGGAGTTTTATTTGCATCATTTTCACCGTACATTTGCAAAGAAAGTATTTTCAAATACACTTGTAAAGTACTTTCAAATACGCCAATTCGTGCTGTCCTTAAAGCGCTCTTTACATTAAAACCGTATGCATTAGTTGGAACTCCCGAATTAATGAAAAGATTTTCCCTTTCTAAAGCATTTCCTGATTCTATGGCCATGGATATTCATCCAAAGCTCGAAAAGGTTAGTTTTATCACTGCTGAGATTGAACTTTTAAAGCCTTTTGTTGATCCTTCGACAATTAAATGTCCTATAATTGTGATTGGAGCCGAAGAAGATAGGCTATTTGGTTTAAAAACAGTAAAAGAAACTGCTGAAGCTTATGGTGTTGGATTTGATATCATTGAAGGCGCTGCTCACAATATTATGTTGGACCTTACATGGGAGGATGCTGCTAATATAATTTTTAATAGAATCCAGGAAAATGTTGTAAACAAAGAATAATCTTTCAACCAATTATTTTAATTAATGTATAATACTTTCTTTCATTTTTCGAAATTTTCGCATCATCATAAGGTGTTGCTAGAATCCGTATTGCTCCATTCGTTTCTTTTGATACTAATGATTTAATGATTTAAATAAAAAAGTTTTAAGTAAATGTTGTTTATGAGTGACGCAACATTTCGACATTTATTTTATTGAAAACCATTTTTCTAAATAAATTATTATATACCTTAAATCAAATATTAATCTTAACAATTTTATTCCTAAACTTTTGATTACGCACATGGTTTAATATTAAAGTTGAATGATCGAAATTAAAAAAATGCAATATGATACACGTAGTGTGTGACAAAAAATACATGATTATTGTAATACATATTTATTGAGATCCGTGCAGTGGCCTGTCTCGTTATCTGTGTGCCCTATTGACCGTGGGTATCTTTATGTGTATACAAAGAGGAAAAAATTAAACAATATTTATTGCTCATTCATTACCCCTAAAATAGGATAAATCATTTCTGCGCCACCTACTTTTACTATTTGTAACACCTGTGGGTAGTTTCAAATATTTTTCGTTAGTTAATTCCCTATAAAGATTTTTTTGAAACGTCTCGAATATAGATACATAAAAAATAATATTCTTTCTCTTTTAATAATGTGTATATTGATGAAGAAAGAGTACAATATTAAAATTTTTTTTTTTTTTTTTTTTTACACTTTATCGAAAAAAAGATAGTGTATTTGGTGAGACAAGGGGAATTTTGGATCATTTAATTGGAACGAATCACGGTGTGGTTCATGAAGAAAAAGGGCCTTGCTAAAAAATCATCCGATGATCATTTTTTGAGTTCTGAATTAAAATAAAAAAAAATAAACTTTATAGAGAAATAGAATGTCATACGATCGTTTATAATTCGAGAACTAAAAAAAAAGGCAGTGACAAATTAAACATGGTTACTCACGTGCAAATATTAATCAAAAGTACTAAATAGTAAAAGTATATTAATGAATTTATCTCGTTCTTCTACAAAACTAGAAATTGATCGATCGTAAGATTTTCCTTATATGTCATAAATAATTAAATATTTGTAGTGAAAGAATTTAGTCTTTCATCATCATAATGAAAAAGAAATTCAATCATTTTCATTGGACTTGGGAGCATAAAGTAATGGAAAATGAATAACGTTGAGGATCCAAATTTGGTTTTTTTATCTTTCCCGCCTAAGGAAATTTCGGAGATTCTTGCCCGAAAATATCCATTGTTAAAAAAGGTGATCGTCGTTTCATCATTTCTGAAACCAATAAATCCAATAATAAGGGATAATAGAAAGAAAAACTTTAGAGATAAATTTCCTTAAAAGTAATGTATAAAAACTTCTTCCGTGCGCACAATATTTTAACACTCTTCATCATATTATGTGATCCCTTCTTGTTCCTTCTTTTAGTTAACAAAGTATTTAAAACGTTTCAATCAATACGATGATGTATACTTACATATTCCAAATATATCAATAAGCGCTTCATTACAAATAATTGCTCTATCTATTAAGTTTACAAATTAAATTCTACCCTCATCAAATTTTTTAATAATAATTTTATGAAACATTTTTTCATGTATTACAACATTGTCTGATTTGCAATAATTGAAAGCTGCGGGTCGACCTTAACTGAAACAATTGAACTCGGCTGTTCGGATTTAAGTTTGTTTCGTTTTTTTTTGTTCAAAACCTGTTTAATTTCCAGAATATCGTAAATATTTGTCTTTTTTTGTGTAGAATGGTACAATAATTTTACCGATTCGTGAGAATTATATAAATTGAAGTACATTTGTTTCCATCCTTACAAACAACAAGTTCACATCATTTCTCATTATTTGAACATTTGAAAAATTTTTCTTTGATATTGTTTTAAAAATGCCAAAAGTCAACAACCGCAAATCTTATAAATTTGACCTAAATAAGATCAAAGAACGAATAATCATACATTTGGATGCCATGTCCAAAGAGGGTATCCATTTCCCAACAAACTTACCTTTAATAGATCTATTGACTCCTTGTACCCCTAATAGTAAATATAAAGGAAGGATCTTGTATTCTCAAAACAGCTTCTTTCTCTATCGTAAAGATATTAGGGATGAAATCTTACGACAACATCCAAATGCATCTTTAAAGGCCATAACAACGATAAGCTCGGAGAGATGGAAAAATGAATCCGTTGAAAAAAAAAATTTTTTTGCAGTTCTCTCTAGAATAAGTACTTTGATACATAATGAACTTTCCGGTAAAACAAGTCAATTAAATAACGAGGGATTACTTTGGCCAACGGAAATACCTTCAATGGCGACGTTACAAAATTGTTTTTATTTACAACAAGCGAGGGTTACGAACGAACATCAACATCTGTCATCTTCTTCCAGCAATACGGATAATTCGGATCAAGAGACTGGGAGATCAAAGTTTTTAAAAATCCAAAATTTGATTAATTAGGATTAACATTTTAGAATTATAGACCTTTCTAGCATTATTTTTTATATTCTTTATATACTTTGTAAATTAATTAATTCTTTCATATTGGTACTTTTTCTTTTTGGAAAAAATATTCTGTACTAGATTCATATCGTGTATTTTAAATTGATTAAAAAATTTTTTTAAGTTCTCTGATAACTTGATCACGTGATTCGCACTAGTTTTTGAAAAATTATAATTAATTTATTAAATTTCTTTTAACATTCCATCATTTCAATTAATATCGATATTTGTAAATTTGGTTATTTATTTGAAATTTTGCTCTGCAACTTCTTCTCATCATTAAAGATCATCTTTCATTTTGAAAATTAAATGTATCTTTTAATGACGCTTCTTACTGGGCTTGTTTAATTTACTTTTCTGCATACAGAAAAGAAAACGAATCCGATTCCACGTTCATGTCATGTCAATTATATCATTAATCTTTTAAAAAATATCGATCGATTCAGATAATTGTATTTATCGCAAAGTATATTCGACAAAATTCTATAATTTTGAATTTTCACCTATAAGTAAGATCAAAAAAAAATCATTGGTGAAGACTTCAATGTTATAATCTGTTAAATCTTAATTTTTAATGTAGTAAGCAAGTGTGAAATAAAATCATTCTTAAAATGATGCAGATGCACGGTGATGTAAAATTAATATTGAATAATTATACTTTTTATACAGTATATAAGCATTTCCAACTACTTTAACAAAAATTAATGCTTGAATTTGGTAAGGCATAAAACTAATTATCCCTAATTAGCTACATACTTATACTTTGAATATTCTCTTAAAGAATTTGAGTTCTATTATCATCTATATATTAGATAGATAGGCTTATATTTTCAGAATCTCGACTCAAGAACTAACCAAAGTTCTTAATAGGATTAAGGTTAGGGCTTTGTAGTAGCTAAGGAAAAAGTTCTACACTTCTTAAATGAAGAAAATCTAATATCATTTCTTCGTTCAAATGCGAAAATTAAAAAAATTTTTAAAAACATTGAATTATTATCTATAAAATAAACAAAAAATTAATGCTCCAATCAAAAAAATTTTATTTTATTAGAAAATAAACTATAAATCATATCATTATAAATTATCTTGTTTTGACAATTGTGAAAAAAAATTATTCAGTATTTATTTTATAATGATCAGAAGTAGTTATAATCATCTTTGTATCGGTCATGAATAGTTCGGACCATGTAAATCGACTTTTGTATTTTTTTACACGGCCGGCATTGAAAAATATCACGTGTGAAAATGACACTAAAGATCAACAAGACAAACGATAATCGCTCATTACCTTTTAACAATATTAAAAGGGCTTGCTTGCGACGAATTCAGAAAAGAAATAAAAAGATGAACAAGGAGCAAAGTGAGTGCAATCATTTCTAGATATCATCATGCATATTAGATCGCGTTACTCCCAAAAGCTCTCAGGAGTAAACTTGAGCATTGGAGAGTTGCGTGGATGTAATGGCTCTTATGCCACTGGTTTCCTTCTATATCTGTCACAGACACAGCTAGTCGGTCTAACCGAGGCCAAAGTCTGGACAATATGATGACAAAAAATGATTCTTTTCACTCACCTAAATTAGATAATGATAATAAGTAACGGTGGATTTAACTTACTATATAAATACGATAAAATCAAATTCTTAATTTATGTAAATAAATTAGGGAGGGTATTTTACAAATTTATCCTGTCGAAATGAAATCATGCAAAATAATTTGAGATGAGACATTTCCTTTAAAATATCTTCTCATTAAACTGTTATATAAAAGATTATAATTATTCATGGTAATAGTAATTTTATTATAGATCATCCCAGGGCTTGAGATAATTTTTCACTGGTTAATAGCTTTAACTAGTCTTGATTCGTTGGTTAAATACCATACCATATTTATTAGTAATTTTTTTTCTATCAAAAAATCGATTATAGAACTTGGTAAGTTTTTTGATGATCGATACGAGTAATTCCTAAAATTTAAAAATAAAATAGAAACAGCTTATGAGTCTAATCGCGATGGCGTTCGTTATTACTTATTTTAGAATCAATATTGCGAAATTATAAGACAAATGGATAAATTATCATTAGTGACAGATCCTAAATCTGATATATCCGGATTGATCCCTCAATCCGAATTGAAATCGGATATCCGCATACGATATTTTTAGGCGGATGGATCTGTTAACAAATTCGATTGATCCTAGGATTCTGATCTGAACGATACATTTTTTTCGAAATTTTAATTTTCTCACAATCTCAACATTTTCAAATTTTGCCATTTCGAAATTTCTCATGATCTCGTGGTAACAATATGGGCAATAACAACATGCGCTAAATTATGATGAAATCTTGAAGAAGACGAAGTCGAAACACTAATTTAAAGTAATTCACTTATTATTAGAAATTCTGCATGAAAACAAGTCGACTCTTAGGATTTTGAACAAAGTAAAGAAAGCTAAATTTAGTTTCATTCCAATAATTTTTTGTCTGTGTATAACTCGATATTGAAAAAGATTGTTTAGCATCGATCGAAAGCTTTAGGATATGGAAAACAAGCATGCCATGTGACAGCTCTCATCTTGTGAACATAAATATTAGCTTTTTTTTCTAAAAAATAAAGATTATAATTCAAATGTTGCTTAAAAATTGCTTTATAAAGTTTTATAACTTAAGATTGAAAAAATTAAATACCGATCCGATTTGCCGATTCGACTTTCGATGATTTTGAAATGATTCCAATCCCTATCCCCGTGCAATTTAATGTAATATAATAACATTGCCCCGATATAATTTTATGAAAAAGGGGATACCAGTACCTCGTGAGTTTGGTTCCTAGTCACGTTAAATTTCTTTTTGATCGCGTTATGAATTTTTTAATAGAATGAGCTAAAGCTAACCCTCCAGGGCCTGCTCCAATTATAAGGATTGTAAAATTTTATGATCGTCGAATTATCATATAATTCTTAACGAACATAATGTTTTGAGAAATGAAAGACTTAATAACTTTCCCATTTGAAAATCATTTTATTTAAAAAAAACAAGTCGATAAAGTCGTACGAGTTTCCAAATTGGTAACTAAATCATTTATTGTCATAAGTGATGTGATTGGCAAAACTAGTTTGGTCATTTTACAATTACTTAAGGATGTAACAGGTTAATATAAACATTCACAGACAACATACATTGAATAAAAAGATTGACTGAATTTTCAAGATAAAAGTTGTATTGAAGAAACATTTATGATATTTACAAATACAAAAGTTTACGCACTTGATCGTAACCGTTGAGTATCTCAAAAATATAGTGATTCAAGTTTGACCAAAGTTTAATTTAATATCAATAAATTCTAGATCATCACATATAAAAATTTGAGATAATTCGAATCACTAGATGCTGAGAATATCGATATAAATGATATCATATAAATTAAATATTATATTCGATTTCTCAACAACCTGTGATTAAACTAACTCATATTTTTATACTTTATAGAATTAGATTATATAAATAATATATTAAATTCTGGTCCAATTTGAACCACTGGAGTTTGAGATATTCAACGGTAACGATCGTATGCGAAAATTTAATATATTTTTTTTTTTTGCAAAATTTTTATAAATTTTATATTATTATATTAAATTTCTCGTTAGCCAGGTGATTAAAATCATAAATATATTATTTATTTATGTTGTATAAATTTTTTGTTTAATTTGAATTACTAAATATTGATAAAATATTAAAAAGTGTGTAAACTTTAGGAGACCCTCTGTATATACATATAAAAAAAAAAATTTTCGATTTATCAATTAAAATGTTGAGCGACGAATTAAAGAATATGAATTCCTTATAATAATATATTTAAAATATTAATACCCAACCCATGTAATGAAAAAAATATTTTTATACTTAAGAACTCACTTGATCGGATTTAGAAATTCTCATTTATCTTGAAATTGGTGTAGGACCGCCCCACACTTGGCTGCTGGACGGAAACATAAATTAAACAATCGCAGGATCCTTCATTTGGAGGTGGGGTGGCACATACATGCCCAGGCATAAATCAGTCTTTGTCTTCCTTGCACGTGAATACCGCGAAAATATTGTATTGTGCGTAAGAATGAAGATCACACAAAGGAAAATAAGAAAGCGTAGGTGACACATTTTTAAAGAGGACACACAAAGCTAAAATGTATAATTTATTTCTTTTTTTAAAGAAAATATTTGAAATACAGAATGTTCAAAATAAGTCGTAATCGTATTTATAATAATAATAAATCGAGGTTGGATTTATAATGCGAAATCATATGTTCAATCAACGTGTGAAATATTCTTCAACATAATGATCAAAGGAACATAATTAAAGTAGATTATTATAATGTTCTAGTGTAATTCAGCAAAAATGATACAAGATTTATTTAATTAATCAAGTACTGCCTAAATCGTTACGAAATCACTGCAAAGGGGAATTTCTAGATTAATGCCATCTTCTTTACAACTTGATTCCACAACTTGCCGGACGATAGTTTGATCGTTCCTTAAGAGGACAAGTTGACTAGAGGATATTTTTGACCAGTGGTCAATTCGGCCGGAGGATAATTCTTCCCGTGGTACCACATTCGGATTATTAACTATTAAAAAAAAATTACAATTCTAAATAAATTTTTACGTGGATGTAAACTTTTTTTATCGCTTATCTATCTTCGAAGGGGTCATTTTCACATCGGAGAAATACTATACATTTGCTTGTAAAATATATCCGAAATTGGAATTCAGATGCCTTTATAAGTAGCTAAACCCTTTAATCCTATAAATTTCTTGCTGCGCCATTCATCGTTCTTTGAAGCTTTATCTTCCCTTAATAAAATATTTTCTACATTTATGATCTGATCACTGCACTTATATTAGAACTTATTTACCATAAATGATTTCAAAAATAATTTGATGCCCATTTTTAACAATTTTCAAAAAAAAAAAATTTTTTAAAATTACTCAATGTTTATGGCAAATTCCAAGTTCAACCGTCTGAAATTCAATCAAATAACTTGATTTCATACTGCCTCGTATCTGAATTTGGAATTTTGAATTAAATTAGGCCAAAGAATTTCAGTTCGAATTTTAATATCGAAAGGTATCTGAATTCCAATTTTTGATGAAAATTTAATTTCTGTCACAACTCTATTATCAAGAGAGTGAACTTTTGTATGAATTTATAGATATCGTGCACTCCTCTCTATCTTAAGTAGGTCAATTTATGGTGGGATTACACTGAAAGTGCGTAAATAACATACAAATTTCTGTTTAACGTTAGCATTATTTTTGTGTTTTTACCCGGCATTACAATTTCCAATGCGTATGAGTGTATTATTGGAAATTAAATTTATCAATAATCAACACTTTTATATTTTTTTTCATGTCTTATATACAAATGTAAAAACTTAGAAAGAAATACAGTATATAATGTATTGTCATCCTGCTATTGAATTTTTTTTAATTTTACTCTTAAAAAAATAATTCATAATTCTTGAGTTACAAAAAACCTTTATCGAATAAAATTCACAAATTATCAAAAAAAAATTGTTTTGTTTCACAACCGTTCAATCGGGATTTATTTCACGCGTTCTTTTAAAATATAACTTGTAAAATAATGTTTGTTGGCACATGACATCATATGACATCATCCTTGGAATCACATGGTCACAAAGTTTTAATAATGATTTGGTTTTTTTTTATAATCAATTAATCGTATTCGATTAAAAGATTCGATTTCGATTCCAATACCAAAATAAATTATATAGTTTAATAGCCGTGTTAATTCTTATACCATTATGATGTTGGAACTCATTCCTTATTTGCATTAATCTGTTATTTCAGATTTTCCAATTATTCGTCTTTATTTTAATTACTTTTCTGGCTCGCAAAGTACGAAACATTATATTTAGCTTCACTTCATTTTTTTTTTAATTTTTTACTTTGGGTTCTTTCGCAGCGATCAAATGGCTTTTTTTTATATTATTTTTTTTAAAATTGTTTTATTGCTCTTTCCCAGAAATTCGTAATAATTTTTTTCTTAATTTTTTAATATAACTCTTTTTCTTTTTATTTACAGGTTCGATCGCTGATCGCAGCGCAGCGATAAAATATTTATTTTCATTACATTTAGAAGGTAAGTTTTTTTCCTTCATTTCTTTTGATCATTTTTTCGTGCAGCAATATTTTCTTTTTTCTGACTTTTATATATATTTTTTTTCTCGATATAAATAAATAAATCGTTAAAAAAATCTTCTAACTGTGAAAACGTTAGCGTTAATGGTGAATGGTTTCTATTATCCCTATTTTATTATAACTGGACTTTCGACGCCACTAAAAAATACAATAGATTTTTCGATTTTGGTAAAATCTATTCTAATCCCTACCTCAGTAGTGGATATAACGTTCTAAATTTGCGAAAATTATTTTCAATTGATTAAATTCTTAAATATTACTTTTAGATTTTATATTTGAAGACAAAATTATTGTAATGAAAAAAAAAAATTTAATTTTTTTTTGGCGCAAAAGATAAAGGTCCTAGGTTAACATAAAGAATATTAGCGACCATTATACGGGAAATGTTGGAGGAATATTTTTAAATAATACATCAATATCATTTATTTTATGGTGAAGACTTTATTACATCAAATTTGATTAAGATAATATTTATCATTAAATACAATCATTTTCAAATGAATAAGAATACATGCTTTTCCCTTAAGGTCTCAATAAAACTATGTAATTAATGAAGTGGATATATAAAAAATGAAAATACATTTCCATTTATAGTCAACTTAAAATTTAACATGACCATTTTCGTACTACAAAATCCTTATTGCTTTACGTTTAAAAGAGTGTTCAAGCACTCAACTAAGTCTGTTGTATCGTAACGAGCCTCTTTTGGCATCCCGACAAGTTTCAAAATACCATCTACAATAACAAAATAACGGAATGGCCACGGTGCATACAGCTTTAAGAAAGTGTCATCCATGGTATCCATCATCACAGGAATCTCCAATTTCGTTTCTCTGACCATAACACTCGCAGCGGTCATGCGGTTGGAAAGCGTGCGATGCTCCTTGACAGATACAATCTCACCAATAGGCCACACATCGCTGGCATGTGCTTCTCGAATTTGGATCATGTAGAAATCAATTTGATTTCGATATTGGCTATATATATCATTAAGCACATAGGATATGTATCAGAATAAAGGACAAGTATACGATCCTACGAGAATTACGAGAGGCCGTCCTCGTCGATAAAGCGAGTGCAATGGAATTGGAGTTGGCGAACTAGTGACATTTTCATTTGTTGTATTAAACGCTGAAGGATCTAGGGGAACAAGTGGGCAATCAGGTGCTGTCATTCCTTCGGTAAGATTTTCAACATAAGCAATGTTATTGCGAACATATAATTGAGTGTTACGAAATGCAGGATCGTCTGACGATAATGAAAAAGGACATCAATATAATGAATGAAAAAACAAGTTCAAGAATTACAATAAATGATGTGATGAGTTTATCACCTTGATAAATTTGCGGAGCTCGACGCATTAGTTGAACAGCTTCATCCGAATAACCAAATTCTCGAACCAAATCATGCTGCATCTGGTCAGTTACATCCATCCAGTCTTTGCCACTAGTAGGGTCGTTACCAACATTAAAATATTTTTTTTGTAATTCCGGTGATAACCTTCGTCTCTCCTCCTCACGTAGCAGGGTTAACATCTCCACTTTAGTGGTTGGAAGCTTTGGAGAAATGAAAACTGGTACGTCCTTATGGGTTTTTTTGGATGTTTGCATGTATTTGGTGAGTGGTGGCAATGCTTCGAATCCTATGCGGCCACTGGTTTCTTGGAACATCCCACCACGAAGCATGTGTACAAGATGAAGTGTGGATTCCTTTTTTATATCATAATCAGATAAGGTGCGACCATCTTCTAATTGTTTGCCAGCAAAAATTAGACGTTGTTTATAAACGGGCATGCCTTCTCTATCCTCGATTTTTGCTTTAACTTGATCGGTGGTATCAGATCGTTCTAATTCCAGCGATATGACTTTTCCGGTCAACGTTTTCACGAATAATTGCATTAGATTTTTTGAAGTTTTTAGGGTCTCGTAAAAAAAATAAAATAAAAAAAAAAAAATTTCAAACATGAAATACAGTAAATTGAAAATTCTACAAACTTGTTTATATACAGTAACTCAAATTTGTTTATTGACCATATGCTGCGCTAATTACAATTCTAAATGGCGAGCTATCAAAGGAAATCTGAATGGGTGCATGTTTATTTAATAAACATATGACGCCACATGCGACATTTATAATCCTAAAAGGTATTAACCGGCACAATAAATTTATTAATCCTGAAAATTATAATTTTGGCCAAAATCTTCATTTAGTTAAAATATCTTTAACCGGCTAATAATAATGCTCGCACCTCTTTAAAACATAGCATAAATACTTTATTGAATGCAACACCTATGAATTAAAAATTACAGTCAACTCTCGATATGGGATCATGGTTCAATCAGAATATGGAGGAGGGTCTTCGTTTGTCAATTTTTTTTTATACCGAAGTTTCATAGAATGCATTAATCAAATCAGTGTCATGTTAGCTTATGATATATATCCGTAGACCATTTTTACTTTAGACAATTTCAAAATATTCCTTTCCTTTTTTGATCGTTCATGTTCTGAATCCTATCGAAACGTCCTTCTTTTATAACAAATTTTCCTTCCTTGGGCTTTGGCACGTTTCTTTTTAAAATTATCAATGAGTAGCGGCCTATACACAGAAAGTTAAATTAATTTGATCCTAACGGCTAGACCAAAATGTCAAATGTCATCTGCCAGAAATAACAAACATTGTAGTCAATTTTCCTGGTGATACTTTCTTTTTTTTTGCTTTTTTTTTTTTTATAATTGTATCAATTGCATTGATGAATGTTATGATTTTTCAGATTATTATGATGAATCTTTTTAATGTTTATTTTTTTTCTTTATTGTTTTCATATTTTATTTTTATTTTTTTGATCATTACATTCCTTCATTATTTTTCTCAAATGCAATAGCAGATGGCTTAATTATACCTTAGCCCTATTATTATTGCGTACATTACATAATAATAAATTATGTGATTATGTTTTTTATTATTATAGGTTAATTCGGTTAATTCGACTCTATTTGGCAATTATTTGAATTTATATTTATTATGCTTCTAGTAAAAATGTCCAATAATAATTATCAGTGTATAATTTAATATTTGTATTTGATAATAGAGTAATAGAGTAAAATTGGTAAAATTGGTAGAAGAAACTCAATAGAATAGAAAATATTTGTCAAAAAAAAAAAAAAATTCTATTAGTTCGTTTATTGTATCAGCCATAAGGTTTTCTAAAATTATTTGCATACTAAATTTTTGA